ATTTCCCCCAATTTTCCCCCAAATTTCCCTCAATTTTTCCCTGATTTTCCTCCAATTTTTCCCTAAACTTCCTCTGATTTTTCCCTGAATTTCCCCCAATTTTTCCTTAAACTTTCCCTCTATTTTTCCTGAATTACCCTGATTTTCCCCCGATTTTCACCTGACTTTTCCCCAAATTTCCCCCGATTTTCCCCCATATTTTCCCCCATTTTTTTCCCAAATTTCCCCCCATATTTTTCCCAAATTTTTTCCCAAATTTCCCCCATATTTTTCCCCAATTCCCCCATTTTTCCCTGATTTTTCCCCCAATTTTTCTCCAATTTTCCCCAGATTTTTCCCCAGATTTTTCCCCAAATTTCCCCTGATTTTTCCCCTGATTTTCCCTGATTTTTCCCCAAATTTCCCCAGATTTTTCCCCTCATTTTTCCCTAAATTTCCCCTGATTTTTTCCCTGATTTCCCCTGATTTTTCCCCAAATTTCTCCAGATTTTTCCCCTGATTTTTCCCCAAATTTCCCCAGATTTTTTTCCTGATTTCCCTTGATTTTCCCCCGATTTCCCCCAATTTTCCCCCAAATTTCCCTCGATTTTTCCCTGATTTTCCTCCAATTTTTCCCTAAACTTCCTCTGATTTTTCCCTGAATTTCCCCCAATTTTTCTTTAAACTTTCCCTCTGTTTTTCCTGAATCACCCCGATTTTCCCCCGATTTTCACCTGACTTTTCCCCAAATTTCCCCCGATTTTCCCCCATATTTTCCCCAAATTTTTTTCACAAATTTCCCCAATTTTCCCCTCCCTGATTTTTTTCCTGATTTTTCCCCAAATTTCCCCAGATTTTTCCCCTGATTTTCCCCTAAATTTCCCCCGATTTTTTTCCCGATTTCCCCTGATTTTTCCCTAAATTTCCCCAAATTCCCCCCATTATTTCCCCCAATTTTTCCCCCCATGACTCCCCCATTCTCTCTCTCTGCCCCCCCGGGCCGTCCCACCTGTGCGGGTGCTCGCAGGGGGATCCGCGCCGTTTGCGCCCCTCGCCGCCGGCCGCGTCCGCGCCGGCCTCCCCCAGGCCGCTCATGGTGGTACCTACCGGGCACCTGGGGGGGGGAGGGGAATAACAGCGCTGGGAATTCGGGAATTTCCTTGGGAATTCGGGGATTTCCTTGGGAATTTCCTTGGGAATTCAGGAATGTCCTCAGGGATTCGGGGATTGGGGAATTTCCTGCTCGCAGGGGGATCCGCGCCGTTTGCGCCCCTCGCCGCCGGCCGCGTCCGCGCCGGCCTCCCCCAGGCCGCTCATGGTGGTACCTACCGGGCACCTGGGGGGGGGAGGGGAATAACAGCGCTGGGAATTCGGGAATTCGGGGATTCGGGGATTGGGGAATTCCCGACCGGGCACCTGGGGGGGGAATAACAGCGCTGGGAATTCGGGAATGTCCTCGGGAATTTCCTTGGGAATTCGGGAATGTCCTCGGGGATTTCCTTGGGAATTCGGGAATGTCCTTGGGGATTTCCTTGGGAATTCGCGGATTTCCTTGGGGATTCGGGAATGTCCTCGGGGATTTCACTGGGAATTTCCTTGGGAATTTGGGAATTTCCTCGGGAATTCGGGGATTTCACTGGGAATTCGGGGATTTCCTCGGGAATTTCCTTGGGAATTTGGGGATTTCCTTGGGAATTTGGGGATTTCCTTGGGAATTTCCTTGGGAATTTGGGGATTTGGGGATTTGGGAATTCCCTACCGGGCACCTGGGGGGGAACAACAACAATGGGAATTCGGGATTGACAACGGGAATTTGGGGATTTCCTTGGGAATTTGGGGATTTGGGAATTTCCTTGGGAATTTCCTTGGGAATTTGGGGATTTGGGAATTCCCTACCAGGTACCTGGGGGAGGGTACAACAATGGGAATTTGGGATTGACAACGGGAATTTCCTTGGGAATTTGGGGATTTGGGGATTTGGGGATTCCCTACCGAGCATCTGGGGGGGAAACAACAACAGGAATTTGGGATTAACAACAGGAATTTGGGAATTTCTTTGGGAATTCAGGAATTTGGGAATTCCCTACCGGGCACCTGAGGGGGAAACAACAACGGGAATTTGGGATTTGCCTCAGGAATTTGGGATTTTCCATGGAGGGATTTGGGAATTTCCTTGGGAATTTCCTTGGGAATTTGGGGATTTGGGAATTCCCTACCAGGTACCTGGGGGAGGGAACAACAATGGGAATTTGGGATTGACAACGGGAATTTCCTTGGGAATTTGGGGATTTGGGAATTCCCTACCAGGTACCTGGGGGAGGGAACAACAATGGGAATTTGGGATTGACAACGGGAATTTCCTTGGGAATTCGGGGATTTGGGGATTCCCTACCGGGCACCTGGGGGGGAAACAACAACAACGGGAATTTGGGATTTACAACGGGAATTTCCTTGGGAATTTGGGGATTTGGGGATTTGGGGATTCCCTACCGAGCATCTGGGGGGGAAACAACAACAGGAATTTGGGATTAACAACAGGAATTTGGGAATTTCTTTGGGAATTCAGGAATTTGGGAATTCCCTACCGGGCACCTGAGGGGGAAACAACAACGGGAATTTGGGATTTGCCTCAGGAATTTGGGATTTTCCATGGAAAAGGCAGAGCTGGGAGGGGATTCCCGGGGGTTTGGGGTTCTTGGGATTCCCAAGGATTTGGGATTCCCAAGGATTTGGGATTCCCCTGGATTTGGGATCCCCATGGATTTGGGATTCCCCTGGATTTGGGATCCCCATGGATTTGGGATTCCTGGAATTCTGAAGGATTTGGAATTTCCAACATTTTCATGGATTTGGGATTGCCTGGAATTCTCAAGGATTTGGGATTTCCGACATTCCCAAGGATTTGGGATTTCCGACATTTTCATGGATTTGGGATTCCTGGAATTCCCAAGGATTTGGGATTTCTGACATTCCCATGGATTTGGGATTGCCTGGAATTCTGAAGGATTTGGGATTTCTGACATTCCCAAGGATTTGGGATTTCCGACATTCCCATGGATTTGGGATTCCTGGAATTCCCAAAGCATTTTCGATTCCCAGCATTCCCAAGGATTTGGGGTTCCCGGATTTTCCACGGCGTTGCTGAGGATGGAAAATTCCCGTTCCTGGGGAAGCTCCAGGGAAAAGCCGGAGCGCCGGGAATCGGCACCGAGGGAGCAACGGGGAGGGCACCGCACACGACCCAAACCAACGGAACCGAACCCAACGGAACCGAATGGAACCGAATGGAACCCAACGGAACCCAACCAAACCCAACGGAACCCAACGGAACCGAACCCAACCCAACCCAACCAAACCCAACC